GAGGCTTTGCTTGTTGGTGCTGATGGAAATTTCCGACCCAGGAGGACCTTCATGTACCACGATTTCAAGGATTATCTGTTTGGTCTTCTCTCTCGTAGAGATATCGAGGCCGTGATGGATCAGGCATGCGACAATCTGATGGACTCCATCGATTCCCCCCATCCGTCCTTCATCAAAACCCCCTTTGAAGCTCAATTTCTCCGCCAGTTCGATGGTCCTCAGCCGGGTTCACTTTTTGTTGATAGAGGAGAGGGACGCTATGTCTTCGCTCTCCATGTGGATTTTTTCAATCCGGAAGGTCTGAATATCCGCGGCGCCAGTACATCATGCGGAATCATCTCTATGGCATGCTTAAATTTACCGGTGGATATCAGATACAAGCCGGAGAATATGTATGTTGCGGGTATCATCCCAGGTCCGAAGCAGCCGTCACTGGAGAACCTCAACCACTACATCCGACCCCTCATCAATGATTTGGTAGATGCATGGCAGCGCGGTATCAAGTTCTCCAAAACGGCTTGTTACCCCCATGGCCGGCTTACTCGTAGCGCCGTCGCCCCTGTTGTCTGTGACCTCCCCACTGCTCGTCATATTGCTTCTATGGCTGGAGTTGGCAGTCACTTCTATTGCAGTGCGTGCAATTGTTATCATAAGTCTACCTGTGGAAGAGTCGACTTCGAGAAGTGGGAACCTCGCAACAAAGTAACATTGCGAGAATATGCTGAGCAGTGGAGAGACGCTGCTACATCCTCTGAACGTGAAAGACTGTTCAAGGCTCATGGCGTGCGCTATTCCGAACTCTGGCGCTTACCATACTGGGACCCCTCCCGGCAACTTGTCATTGATCCGATGCACTGCATATTGGAAGGCTTGGCCCAACACCACACCCAACATCTTCTCGGTTTAACCTCAGAGTCGACCACATCGACATCGCCCTCCCCGGCATTTGCGTGTGACTTTGGCGAAATACCTCCCGGGACAATGACAGCCAAAGAGGTAACACAGATATCCGCGATTCGCACCCTCCTCGCATCTCACGTAGGTTCTGGCGACGATAATCAACTGGAGGAACGCTTTGACAAGCTAAAAAGCACTCTGTCTCATAAAAATTCCGGACCGTTGAGATTTGCCTGCAATTCTTTACATTGTATGCCCCAGAAAGTTGGCAGAACGCTGAAGATTGACTACGTCAAGGCTCTTGTTGATTGGGTAAGCTCTTCGCTGTGATGTTTCTTGCCGTCAATTTCTCTAACACGCACTTCACAGCGTCGCGGACAACCTCTAGCGGCCCCTCGAAAAGTTCGTTCGTTTGAGACAGTAGAAGTACTTGATCGAATCCGTAACGTCATCCGTGATACGACCACCCCCACTTGGCTTGGTTCCGTCCCCAAGAATTTTGGCGAGGCATCTGCTGGGACAATTAAGGCTGATGAGTGGCGATCCCTTATCACGATCTATCTTCCCATCGCCCTCGTGAGCTTGTGGGGAGCTGGTACATCGCATTCTTCTGACGAAATTGCTGTTCGCCTCAAAACTATCCTCGATCACACTATGGAATTAGTCGGTGCAGTGTATCTTGCTTGTGCACGAACAATGACACCGAGAAGGGCTCAAGCCTATCGCTCGCATATCGCTGCTTATGTCGGAAAGTTGCAGACAATTCATCCCACCTTCTCAGTGCGACCGAATCACCATGCATCGTTCCATATATATGATTATCTGCTCCTATTCGGGCCTGCTCACTCGTGGTGGTCTTTTCCTTTCGAACGTTTAATTGGAATTATACAACGCATTCCTATCAATCACAAATTTGGTACGTCCTTTCAAAGCACGAACGAGAAAGTTAGACTTAATCCTGTTAGGGGAGCTTGAAAATACAATGCTTCTTTCCTATATCAAAGCTGCAAGACTTCGCCGTTGGCTCGCCCGACCAGACTGTCCGCCTGCTATTCAAGAGTGTGGGGTCCTGTTTGATCGAGTATTCAATAAGAGCGCTACGAGTTCTATCCATGAGCTTGCCGAAGATCCTATGAATGATGCCATCAAGGTTGCCGACTGTGCAGCAACTAGTGCGGTGCCTGAAGACCTGTATACCCTCATCAGACGACGAACGGCGGTATTACGCGCTACACTCAAGTTCGACGGTGTGATCTACAGTAAGGCGTCTACACACTTGGGCAACAGCCAGATTTTCTTCTATCCTCGCGGAGATCGGTCGTTAACCCCTGTCGCCGCCAGTATCAAATACATTTACAGTACGCTGACAGGAGAGTTATTGTTTGCTGTACAGCGACATATCCCGCTAGATCACCATACCGTCGATCCCTTCTCAATGTACCCTTATTTTCCGGCGAAATTGTACTCGACAGACTTCGAAACCCGCCTTGAAAATGCCAAGGTGTCATGGGTCGTTAGTCACTTTGCGCGATGGAGGGTTTCTGACCGTCACGCTGTGATTCTATCCTTATCTCGCGACTGAAACTACCTAGCAATATCTATAACTCTCCTGACTCAATTGTTATAGCTTTCAATATGAATATATTTATTTAATCTCTTGCATTTTTACAGGCGTGTGAGCGGGCGATGGGCAGGCGATGGGCGGGCGATGATCGGGCGATATATTTAATCTGAAGACAAAACTTGAAGTTTCGTCATCGCATTTTGTTGCCGCCGTGAACTTGATATTTTCGGCAGGGTCTAATTGTTTGATACAACTTAACATAGTGACCATGGACCAAACTTCAAGTAATTGTCCCAAGTTGAACGTCATAATAAAACTTTAAATTCAAGCACACGCTCAAAATCTGACAATATTTCTTATTTTCGGTGACGTATGGTCAGTGCCAAAATAGCTGCCAAAGCTTTATATTTTGGATCTTGCACAAAACACTGCCAAAATTTGAAGTTATGTGCCCATATATATGTTAGTTTAAATTTCAAAAATGTTCTTTGCATTCCGGATAACATTAAAACCTATCTTAAATATTGCGGACACCGTAGTGTGAATCACTGGCTCACTGAGCGGAACGAGAAAGGAGGAAATTCTTAATTTAGATTTCAACTCCTTACTGATGTTTGTCCCGAATTCGGTCCATGGCATGTTATTTTATCTTTTGAGTACTTCAAACATAAGTTCACGGAGATGGCTGGTATCACTAGCATTGGCGTCGCGTACCACCTTATCGAACTCTTGCATAATGCCTCGCCTTTGTCAAATACCCGCTCAGCATCGTGATACTCGAGGCAAGAGATTTCTGTCAGTCTGTCCCATGCTTATCGTGAGTTTATCGTACTGTATTCAGTATACCGACTCAGTTTTGGTCTCAGGAGCGACTTGTGCGTGAAGCACTACATGTCTCGAGAATATTATTTGTAGGAAGGAATGGTGCACATCTCAGGCTGGCCGCTTTCTTCGAATCTGCTCAACGTCAGGTAACAGTCGATGCGGTCGAGGCAATTAAGTCATATAAATTCGAACAACACCGGATCCGAGCGCCGCTTCTCCTACGAGTGCATCTGACAGCGCAGGAAATCGTGATTACCATATCGAGAAGAGCCTGAGTGGCCATGATCCGTTTGAGGAGTCTGCGGAAGAGGTTTGTATCCCGTGGCGTGCGTGCCGTATCTCTCACCTCAGATGACCCTCAGATAAAGTCATTCATGGAGGAAGAGAAGCGGAAAAAGTTGGCTGAGCTCCGGGAAAAGATAGCTGCAAAGCGCAGCGTGAAGGCTCAACAAGAAGCTGTAGAAGCACGTGGAATGAAGCTATTCGTTTCAAGTCTGGAAAAGTGACTTTAGTCGCGTACTTGTGTTTTAGAAGTAAAATCGAATCAGGACATTAACAAACTGCTGAAGGCCGAAGAGATCGTGAAAGAAGGTGAACAGAGAACGTAGAGGTGGCTGCTATGCGTATGGATTCTATCCATATAGATCCGATCTAACCGTGTGCGGTAGAGAAGCTTGAGGATGCCAAGGCCAAGGCTGCGATAAAGGCCCAGATCGAGGCTGATAAGAAAGTTCGTGCAGAAAAGGCTGCAAGGGAGAAAGCTTTACGTGACGGCCAATCAATTATTGACTCATCAGACACTGCGTCAGCGACTCCGGCACCGACAACGTCCTCGTCCAGCGGCACAGATGAGAAGGACTTCAAAGACACTCGTCTCAAAATTCGTATGGCAAGTGGGGGAACGCCTTACATGACCACCTTACCAAGCAACGCAAGTATGTCTCGTCGTTTCCCTGCATACACGAACGTCTTGTGAACTGACACATCTTGCTAGCGTTACGTGAGTTTCTATCTGCCCAAACGCTTTCAGGGCAGGACTGGATTGTCAGATGTGGAAATTGTCACATTCGCCCAGGTCAGTCTACCTCTTGTTGTGCTTTATACCCAGTACCGAGGGTTCATAATTTTCCCAATAGGACGATCAGTTTAGCAAAACGTTCATGGAACTTGGACTGACGCCATCAGCGGTACGTACTTTTTCCGAGTATGGAATTATGACACGGCACATTGGTTTCTAGGTCCTCATTGCGTCCTAACGCGATATATCGGCTGTGACTAGGGATACTTAACTGTGGTCCTTTCGGAATGAAACATGCAGTTGTACACCACTGCAATGGATTTTCTTTCGTATGATATTGGCCAAGGGATATAAAATGACAATGATGAGAAACATGCTAAATGTGAGTTTGACGTGGATATCGAGAAGAATGACCATGCCAAAAACACGATAATCAAACAAAAGCAAATAAAATTACATAATAATATTCGAAGAGCCGTTCGGCAGACGAGGCTCTGTCATACCTTGATCTCAATCATTTCTTGATCGATTTCAACTTCGCAATAGTGTATTACAAGTGTACAATGATATGTGGTCAAGCAGAATATGATTTGAAGTAGAGTTGAGTGAGATATTGCAAAGTGTCCGAACCAGTGGTTGTCCGAAGTTGTGGTTATAGATCTAGAAGAACCTTCGGATTACACAGCTGCTGAAGACATGTTTGTCTTATCCATAATCAAAGTGAGCACTACTTCAACAGTCCCATAGCCCACCCAGCATTCATTTATCACCTAGGATACCATTGCAATTCTGCCAGCAAACTTTGGTGTGCCTCCAGCACAAGCTCTCATTTCTGAGATCAACAAAAAATATGCCAATAGAGTCCTTCACGACGTAGGGCTATGTATTTGCACGTTTGACCTGGTAGAAGCGGGCGAAGGCAAAGTACGATACGGAGATGGGTGTTTATGGTATAAAGGTGCGTGCTCGAATTTTCAGCGAGTCCTGTGGCCGCAACTTATCATCATGAACAGTCAGATTCAGAATGGTCGTTTTTCGACCATTCGCGTCGGAAGTAATCCTTGCTAAAGTGAAGTCATCAGACGAAGACGGTATTCGATGTATGGACGCTGCTTCCTTCTCTCATGAATACTAATTGTACCAGTGAGCGTAGGATTTTTCGACGACATCTATGTACCTCTAGCATATCTACCGCAACCATCTGCCTTGTATGTGCTGTGGACCACCAATCCCTCCAAGTTACTCACAGCTGCCTTCAGTGACCCAAATGAGCGTGCTCATTTCTGGCTACCAGACTCGGAAGCAACAACCGCACACGAGCTTTTGGAGTCTGCAACAGCAGACCGGATGTATATCGACCAGGGAGAAGTAGTACGGGTTCGCATCGAGGCTGATGAATTTTATGACGACGAACCTGGTCCGCCAAAAGCATCGGAGGGTATTGCAGTAAAACGAGAGGCCCGGCGCGCACCGTATAGCATGATTGTGAGCTTTCATGTACGGGCCGCGTGCGCTGGCTAATGATTCTTTCTGCAGTGCTCTATCGCAGAACAGGGACTCGGGCCTGTCCCGTGGTGGAAGAGTGCCCAGCCTGATGGCGATGCTATGGAAGCGGAATGATTCACTTTTACATCCTGCCTTCAATAGTGATCAGCGGAACCTTTTTATTCTGCGCTGGAGATGGTGGACCTCGTGGAAATCCGCGCTGCTTGGCTGCCGCCGTTCAGGTGGTCGTCACAGTCGATCAAGTGCCCATCACCGTAAATCACCGTCGCCAATTCTTTAGGTATGCTTGGGCATGGATAGGGCAAGATCAGGGTGTGAAATGATAGAAGCATATTAAATAAAAGATGTGATACTCTGGTTCCAGTTCTAGATGCGTCTAGATACTGTGGGACTCTAATGTTCATGTCCATGTCTCTGAATTTTCCGGCGGGCGTAGTACTCTCTCCGTCTTCACGCTCGGTGTATTGGCTTCAAACGCTGAAACTTCACTCTCACTATTTACTCGGAGTCAACGGCCAGATTCTCTTGCAACTTGCGGAAGATGCCGAGCCAGTACAGGTCACCTGGCACCTTGGAACGGTCTGCTTGACTTGAAGTTGCAATGAACAATCACGACGACATCCTCAGGTAAAACGATGGCCGTGCATTTATTTGGACTATGTCGAGGGAGGCTTCCAACTGCAGGGCCAGGTCTGCGTGCTGTCATTCATTCCCGACTCGCATCTACAATGTCCCAATACCCATTCCCGCATCACCCGCGACCAACTCCGCACCAAATATTCCACCTCTCCCACAACGCATCTCAAGCTGATATCAAGTCAAGATGTTTGTATACTCGCTCATACTCACACTGACTTCTAATCGGCATCCGTAGACTATGAACTTGTCCGAGAACACCATCCCGATTCTGCCCATGCGCAACATATCACTGCTTCAGAACGACACTCCCGCTTTCAATCCATAACTGCTGCGTATGAGGTTCTTACTGGGAAATCTCGCTTACAGCTTGGTTCGGGACTCCGCAGCAGTCCGTCCGATTCCGATATGTATGAAGAGTTAAGACGGCGCAGACGCGCGCACCATAGGAGTGCGGGGATGGACTTTGACCACAATCACCCATTTGGCTTCGCGAGTGGAACGCCTGGGAGGGAATGGACTGCGAGGCCAGATGAGAGATGGAAGGACTGGTCAATAATATTTGTGGGCACTGCGGTATGTCTTCCAATCGGTCGTTTATGGCTCCTTTATATGTTTAATCGTTCTATGAAGTGTTTCATCATTGGCATCGCTCCTATATTTTTCAGCCATAGTTCCGATAGGCGTCACAGGAGTGCTGTCCAAAACCTTGCCCAAGCTCGCAGTGAAGCTCAGGAGTACGGGATGGAGCGGCGAAGGGAAATTAGACGGCGTGTACAGGAATACCAGTTGGAGCAAGAGGAGCGCGATGCACGTCGTAGCTGTGATCATAAAGCCGAGAGAAAGTGATCAAGTCACCGCCGTTGCTGTTGCGAGTATTAAACATAGACAGAATCCGACTGTATCTCTCTTTATTCTTCATTATTATCCACATCAATAAATGGCAGGCACCGGGCGACGTCTCAATACATTTAATTTATTCTTACTCCTGATGGTCAAGGAGCGTTCCAGCTAAGTCCCATATCATGGTAAGTACCACAGTTCTCGTCACTACTAATGTACATCCAGCTCCGAAGGATTTATAGTTGAGCACGTGAAATATTCGACATCGATCAAACACGCACGTCGCTCGTCCATGATCTAATCAACAGACAGGAGCTAGAAGTGTTTTTATATTATGGTCACGACAATCGTACGACTCATTATTCGAAAGGAACCACTGTTTTCCTCTACACAGTGGTAACTCGGTGACCTACACATAAACGGGCATTTGGCCAATAACACGCACGTCATGTGTCATGTCCGTCTCATAATATGACTAGCATGCATATTTCCAGTGCCGCATCGCCATAGGTTCGTGCGTGGCACAAGTCATATAGAGTCCTGAGGACCAGGGGACAGTGCGTTTTGCTGCCAAGGCTGGCCTGTCCGAGGCATTGGGGTAGGGTGAGGGTTTCAATACACCTTAAGGTCCTAATCATGGATCTCTAACAGCTGTGAATCCTCAGCGGATATATTACAACGAGTACGTCAACACCCCATCAGATTTCTTCGTCATCAAAATCGATCTCTTCCACAGGGAAGTCACCGACTGTGACTTTTGTAGGGCGTACGAACACTCCGTAGTTCGGACGACATGTAAAATACTGCACCCCTTTGAGACTAGATGTCCAGATGAGTATCGACAAATGATACGAGGGTTCAAACTTACGACCCGTCATTCTTGCCCATCGGCTCATCATACTCGACACCGACCCAAAGTCCAGCAGCAAACTCAGTCTGACCAAAAAACCGAACTGCACCACGCTTATTCAAGCCCGGTTCTGTTGATTCTACCTCGCAGCGTGATCCGATGGGGATGTTTACCGTAGGATCAGGAGTAGGTTCTGTTGAAGAGGGCGCAAAGCGCCCTACTTTATGTCTTTGCTTGTAAGCCAACACGGAGTCTTTGAAATAAAAGAGAATTAGAACCAGTAGTAAATAACAAGGAATGACTGATTGATCACCAGTTCGTTGTGCGTATGCGTCGTCGCTGAGCTCGAACTTCTCTACTTGCGATACATCGGAGAGTTGACCCGTAAACGACGTCGAAGGGTTCGTATCTACAATCTACAACAAACGATACCAACATATGCATAAACGATTGCTTTGTGAAGATTCGAACGGAAAATACCTTGATCGTCTGGAAATCCCGAACACCGTAGTACCCAAGCGGCTTAGCATCATCATCCAGCTGCGCGACGACCTGAGAATCGTCATCGCCATTGTGCAACAATATTTTCTGATTCTGAACGGGGATGCCTGTGATGAGCTCTAGTTTCGCCTAGATATTGGGTGGTGCACGAATCATGATCATATGCGGGGTTGTCTTTAGTGTCCTGCAAGATGTGTTATGGTAGACTACGCAACCTTGAGTTGTTGGATCGTTACGTGGAGGTCGAAGCGACGCTCAGAACGGGTGTCTGGGGATACGACGAATAATTTGACGATGGATGTCATTTTGGATCAATGAACATCGATGTTAAATTGGCTGGAATAAGAATTGCAATTGTTACTACGAATTGCCATAAATAGTATGTCATCCGCACATGACATCATAAGTTGTCCGCCAAATATAAAATTCAAAATTCAACATCGTCGTCAACATGCACATGGACTCCTTCGGAGTGACGTCTGGCTCATTCGTTGTTGCCATTCAGCTATGATGCTTTTTTTGTCGTCAAAAGACAGCAGGATCGGAAAGGCACCATCACAATCATCAGGAGCATCGTGGGTTCATCAGTAAACCACTTTGCACTGTGCAGCGCTGTACAGCGCTGTACAGCGTGCAAGCGCTACAGCTTGGTCCCAATTAGCCAGTCCATCACAGCGACACCTTGCGCTGTGAATCTCTGTACAGACACCTACAGACCGCCCAGTAATTACGAAAATCTACTTGAATTGCAAATTTTTTCGCTGTCCATCTCTGTACAGACACCCACAGAGCACTCAGAGACCCGGAGCTGTACAGACATTTGCTCGCTGTACTGCTTACACACACTGGACAACACAAAAATTTTAAAACAAAAAAACAAAACCAATATATTGAATCACATGACCACGACAAACAGTAAATACAATGATACGTGCGCCAAACACGATAAATGCTTGATATAAACTGGGGAGCGGGAATACGAAGCTTTTAGTCAAGAAGAATCTGCAGGTGGTCGTGTCTGGCATCAACAACTCCTTCGAGATTCATAGCTGCAGCCCTGTACAAATGAAAATCAGTAAAAAAATTATCAGAGAGAAAAGATCCTCACCATCCCGCTGCAGCCCATTCTCGCAGTTGAGCTGACAGCCTAGGCCCATGATACGCATCCTCAAGGATATGTTTGAGCAATTCGAGCATCCGACAATAGACGGGGCCGTAGTCCTTGGTGGAAAAGTTTGGGTATGACTTCCCATGTCCGTTTTTCACAAGACCGTCGAAGACACAATTGAACTAGTTTCAAGACAGAAAATTAACACATGACATTGGCGAGGGAGACGAAATTACCGCCGCAGCAACCAAAGCCAAACATGAGAGTGGCAATTCCGTGCTAAAGGTCTCCGGCATCCTTCGTGCAATTCGATATGGTCCTGTGTAAAAGAATGTGATGACGGCTTCACGAAGGGCGGGATGAGCGAAGTTTCGTGTTCTCCCCTAGAAATCTTCCATCAGTAGAGTTGCGATCACCACAAGATCACTTACCTGATCGTCCACCCCAAAGCGTAAGAAGAATGCTTCCTTGATCAATTCAGCAGCAGTGTGCTCGACCCAAGCAGCACGTTCCTGAACGGGGACAGAAAGCGGAGGAATAAGCAAATATGATACTGGTGCAATGCTTATGGCTGTTTTCTTCAAGTCAGATCGCCAAGTCGAAAGATCGTCGTACAGCTTTAATACAGACTGTCAACGAGATATTGGCACAAAGTCAGTTATGCACGCACCAACCGAGTCATATTAAATTTGTGTTCTGGCCAAACCCCTGCATCAGAATATGACATATTAGTTCGAGAACGAATGAGAACGAACAAGTGCCTACCAGCTTCAAATTGTTTACCGTTCGTATCCCACACAACCAATACTGCAATGAGAACTTCAGTGATTGTTCCTGGAAGATTCTTCACCAAAGTTGGAAACGGGTTCTCCAGGGCGTGTTGCGCGCGACATTCTACTTTGGCGTCCTCCAAGAAACTTTTCCAGCGTGGTCCGTACCAAGATAATTGATCGGGTGTTGGCCCACCACGCGATGACCTAGACTTTTTGTTTTTCAATGGCTGAACATCACACTCGGACACTTGATTCAGCAGTTCGAGGGATTCAGGATCAGGAAGACGGGGCTTTCCGTTTTTCTTATGATGGCGTTGTAGTACATCGTCAGGCTTCGAGGTGATGGTCTGCTCGATGGTGAGTGTCAATTAAAATGGTCTCCCTGATCTCACCTCAATGTGTTGGGATGCTTGCCGCCGCGGTCCTGGTGAGATATCCGGAGGGTCCTTGAAAGAAAGGCAATGGTAAGCATGATACAATTGAACGATATGGCCATACCTGAGAGCTTTCGTTCCGCTGGATTAACAATATAAAATGAGAGTTACTCCCGGCTTGAGCAGAAAACTTACCGAGGTTTTATCAAGGCTCGTCTGGGCAACTACATCATCTTCATCGCGTGAGTACTGGAACTGAATTTCAGGTGTGAGAGGGCGAGCGACTGGAGATTGCGAAGGTGGTACATCCTCCACAAACCCTATAACATTGAATTAGTGAAGCGAAATCACACGACGAGAATGTGTACCTGGGTGTTCTTTCTGGCGTCGGCCAGCCTCCCCCCAACCAAACTGCTGTGAGCTCTTGACCGTATCATCATTTCCCCCCTCCTCCTTGTCATCCTCTCCGCTGTCCTCTTCATCAGCATCTTTATCATTGCTATCATTGCTGTCATCACTGCTACAGTCTTTAGAGTCACTGTCATCAGATTCAAACGACGTCAGACGACGCTGAGCCCTAACAGTGTCATCATGCTGACGTAGGGCTGGATCTAAATTCTCCTCCCGAAAGACGGACCTTGGCAAAACCACTGGATATTCAGAGACAGCGTTCTGGGTATGTCGCTCAGCAATTGCATCCTGAGTTCGCTTCTCAGCGATAGCGTCCCGAGCTCGTTGCTCGGCAATGGCGTCTCGAGCTCGTTGCTCGGCAATGGCGTCTCAAGCTCGTTGCTCGGCAATGGCATCTCGAGCTCATTGCTCGGCAATGGCATCCCGAGCGCGCTGCTCAGCGTCCTTCGCCCCAATGGTGACATGCGGGTTGTGCAATGCCTGAATATTGGGCTGGGCAGTACCGGAATGAGCTATTTCTGTTGGAGCAACAAATCCAAACCTTCCACCAGGTTGCTGGGATGTAAAGCTGGGCCCTGTGGCGATAATGTCCTTGGCTGGGGCATCTGGAGCATCCCTAACGAGTGAGCTGTAGGGTGGAGGAACTGCCTACGAAACAATCAATATGAGTAACAGAATTAATTGGACGCCTACCTTTGAATGATTCTTTCGACCTCTACGACGCGGTTCTGGGGCTTGAGGATTGACTGGAACATTGAGACCAAGGGACGTTGTACCCTTACGTTCTTGAGTCCGAGGCTTGGATTGCAATACTGATCCAATCTTCTCCAGTTGTGCATTCCTACCTCCAGTTCCCGCGTTAGGGCGACCAGAACGCCGGGGAGCATTTTGTTCCGCTTCTGCTCCAGTCAGGCCAAGGGACACGAGGGGTACCGTGCTGGGTACCTCAGCAATGTCTGCAGCCCAAGACTTCTTTGGCAAGCCGGCCTTTGAAGCATCGGATCCTTTGCGCTTGCCAGATCATTTCTTCTTAGGACTGGCGATGGCACGAGGAGGCATGACTGTAATGAAGAACAGAGGAAGAAGTGACTCTGATAAATTATCCCAGACTTACGATGATTTTATACCATGGCTCATCCGTGTACTAATACTTAATAGCCGTATGGGTAGCGAGAGAAAAGTTTATCATTAATAAGAATGATAGTAATAAAGAAACATACCACCATGAGGATTGTTACTATCACGTCGTACTCCGAATCGATTCGCATGACTAGCGTGAAAAAACCTTCGTCGTTGGTAATGGTACTCATAAGAGAAATTGCCGATCACGTAAGCAAAAATGCTACACATAACATGAATCGTACCAGAACCTACTAGTAGTGATACTATATCAGATCCTGGCGTACTACTAGTATCTTGATTGTAAAAAGATAAACGCTTGAAAAAAGCTTGAAAAAGAACGATATAGTCAGAACAACAATATCATAGGTACCGGTCAGTGAACTATAGTAAAAACGCAACATACTAATAGTACAAGCCAGCGAGATTCTAGAAATACTACTGCTAAAGTTAAACATGTCATTCATACTAAGTCAGTGAAGAAGAAAAATAGCTGAATATGTGTAATGAGTAGGCTTCACCTCCTGGTCATGCGTCACTGCCCGATGCTGAGTCAGACTCGGTATCACTATGATGAGACTTTTGCCGCTTGGGTGCTACTACAGAGGGAGGGTCTGAAGCAATCCGTTTGCCCTTAACATGTTTCGTGAGAATGGCAGCATCATTCCTGAGCATGTCCACAGCAGATACGAGCTCCTCGTCGTCGGGGAGTTTGTCGAGATGAGAGTTGAGTACAGCGAGAATGGTGTCGAAGGTAACGGGGTGGATCATGTTGTCCACCAGAACTCTACGCCACTCTACTGCGAGGGGGATCAGCTGCTTGAAGTACGGGTGAAATTGGTCTGTGAGACGCTTTTCCTCTCCTGGATAAGCGAAAAAGGTGATCTTGAAGGCTGCGCACGATCCCAGGTCAAGGCTGGTCCAACGATCCACCAACAAATTGGGCAAGCGCTCCCGCACCATACCGTTGGGACCACAAAACTTGATGCAAACCCAAGCGAACACGAAAAAAAGGGACTCCAGGTCATCCGCATAGCCTTGGATGACGTATGATACAGGTAGCGCCAGAGAATCAGAGGATGATTTCGGGGTTTTTGGTTTGTCGACTGAATTGCGTCCCCGAGTCTCTTTCTTCTTCGCCATCTTCTTCCTCTTCGATTCCAGGTCCGCCTCCTGCTGCAGGACCGCATATTGATTGAGAAGTCCGCGTGACATGAAAGGGACTGTGCCCTGGCAAATCAATTAATGAACTGAATATTTAATGAATAAGGTGTACTTACTGTACCGCCAATAGGATATTTATGATCCGAGGCAATCCGAACGGCAAACTCCCAGTCAATAAGAAACCCTTCACTACCTTCAGGTTCGTCTAGGATCATCGCGTTGTTGAGACTACAGTCCCGATGCAAAATCTGACGTTCCTCCACCGCAGCTTGTTGAACTAACATCAAAGAGTATCAGTCCAAGACACCTGTACCCCAAAGTACTAAAAACTTACTCTTAACGATATCCCTTAGTGCCCGCACAAACTCCTTCAGTGTTCGGA